GAGGTGAAGGGACATGCCCAAGGCCATGCAGCAGGGGTGTAGCAGAGCTGGGTATAAAACCCAGCACTCATGACTCCCAGTCCTGTGCTTTAGTCCAGACATTCATCCTCCTTCCCTGTCCTGAAGGACACACACTATTGTGCACGCTCCTGATTCCCTTTTTTTATCAGATCAGACTCTTATATTGCACTAGTTATTATTATCGGCATTGCATAATTCTATAGCTCCCCTTTCTGGCCAAGAACTGAATGAATCATAAGGCCAAACAAAAGAGGTTTCTCTCTCACTGAACAAATGCTCAGCTAGGTCTGGGGAAGAGATCACCACAGGACAGTGTTTCATTGAGATGACCTTGGGCCAGGTCACTTATGGTTTGATTTTTTTCAGAAGTGTTGAGCACCATAGCCATTAGTGAAGTGTGGACCATATACCTTTCCATGCTTCAGTTTCTCCACCTGTAAAGCTGTGAGGCATAGCAAATGAATTACTTGTAAAGCACTTTGAGATATTCGCATGAACAAAATAGCATGATTATTATGCTGGTAGAATAGATATGTATTTGCAAGTTAGCTAAATTTAGCAACTGACATGGCTTTCAGAGTCAGGGGTTAGTGTGAGGATTGATGATTCGCTCTGCTCCCTTTCCGCAAAGAAATTACAGGATTTATCATTTGGAGCATGTGTGGGAGGCAAGGGGCGGGGGGGAGATAAAACTGTGAACAGCTCAACTTGAAGGAATTATATACATCCCTTTTGTCCCATGCCAGCGTGTAAAGTGAAATTTCTAGTCATCCTGTTAGTGGTGAGATGATTTAGGAATATAAACTCTGTTGTGTAATCTTTTTAGCTACATTAATTTACTAATAAAACATAAACTTCATTGGGGGAAAATCAGCCTTTAATGTGATGTTTACAAATATTTTTGATAGATATATTATCCGGCTAATATTGATATGCTTTGTAATTGTAAGCAACACGGTAGTTAGAATAGTGTTAGCCTACAAATAGTGAAGATGACTGCCCTGAAGGGAATTGAAGAATTTATATAATCTTATACTTATTTTTCTATACTTTGAGGAAGACACTCTATAAAGATTGATGATGTCTCGGCATGTCTGCAGCCATACCAAGACCTAACCAGCTCATTGTCCTAGGTCAGAATTTGGGTGATATTTGGCCCTTTCCCATCTAGATGCTGGAGGAAATGGTGCTGAGGATTGATAGGTGTCTTCCTTCCTTCTAAGTCAGTACTGAGTGAATGTTCCAGCATGGTTTCAGGGGGAAACTGTGTTACAGTGTCTTTTGGTTGAAATGTAAAACAGGCCCTGTTAGTTGTGGTCATTGAAAATCCCATGGCAGTTTTTGAAGAGACAAGGTGACCAAATTTCAGCTGGGTTCATTACATCCTCCTTATCTGAAATGTCCAACTGAAAACTACAGGGATGCAAAATTCTTATTCACTTCCTGTGCTACCTACCCTGTTGTGTAGTGTAGTGTGCTATAAAAGTAGCTGTTATAGCCCAGTGATTGGCAAAGCAACTCAGGTGTATGTTTCCTAGCAGATTTATAGCAAGGGGACTGGCAGCCAAGATGCCCAGGTTCTAGACCCATCTCTACCGCTGACTCACTGTGTTTGTCCTTCACCAAGTCACGTGTATGTGGAAAATATGAATCACAATTCAAGTCTGCTAAGATGAAAAAATTAGCTGCAATATTACTTAGGTAGTACTAAATTGTTTTTTAGTGTTTCTTATTTTTGATGATAAAGGGATTTTTGTAGATGAGGGTGGAAATGTGCTAGGCTGGATTTCAGCAGCAAGATTTTGCTCCCAAACTGTTAAGACACTGAAGGCAGCTCACAGCAGGGATGTATCCAATTTTAAACCTAATTTTTCAGTGGAGTAGCTACTGTATTAGCAATGTGGTGGTGTTTACAATGAGGGAGACCTTTCCACTTACTGAAGCTGTGGTTAAACTTTTGTCAGGTTTTATATATTTGTTTGTTTTGGTTTGGAGCTACTGTATCCCCTGGGGTTTCTGCCAACTGTGACCCAGCCAAGCCAGCAGGAGTTGTGATAAATTCATCTCTGCTGAAACAACAAGGAGTCTGGTGGCACCTTAAAGACTAACAGATTTATTTGGGCATAAGCTTTCGTGAGTTAAAACCTAACTTCTTCAGATGCATAGAGTCTCTGCTGAGACTCTCTTTGCGTGTCTTACACCTTTATCTGTCATGTACCATGTATATAATTTACAAATAAAACTCCTGGGGTCTGTAATATGTGGCATAAAATGGACCACTTTATTTTACAGTGTTCTTATCCCAGTGCATCAGTGAATTAGGACATTTTTCACCTTGAGTGACATTAATGAGAATTGGGTGGTCAGCCCTTCTGAAAATCAAATCACTTATTTAAGTGTCTAATTGTAAGCAGCCAAATTTGGTCAATATATTCCAATGATATAAGGAGCCCAAATTGGTCTTTTGTTTTGGAGGCATTCTGAGCAATGTAAACACCATAATTTGTCTACGCATAGCGTGCCTTGCAGTAACAGAAAAATAAAACCTTGGAAGTTATATTATGTTGGGAGCCCTGACATTTGTTGTTTGTCTGAACTGAAGTCAGTAGTGTTGATCTAGTAAATCTCTATTCTAGGCTATTTCATTGAACAACAGAGATAAAAGTTCTGTACCTAAGTGATGCCAACATTCAAAAAATGTGGATTTATTTTAAGGCCAGGAGGAGGAAATCTTTGGGTTTTAAGACAGCTGGCTTCCTTGTTTCTCACTGCAAAGTGTTATCCAATAGTCATTTGGGATCTGTGAGCATCTCTCAGATCAGTTTATTTTGATTCGATTTGATAGAAAGCTACTTCCTCAGCCACCATATGAAGAATTTAAGATGCTTGCAACGTTGTATAGGGCAAAACCAAGTAGAATTACTAATGGAGTTAAATTTTCTTTTAATGTGGAATAAGTCAATTATTTTTATCTTTCCCTTTGCTGGGTGTGTGTGCTGGATTCTCTGCATTGGTCTGTCAGGTTTGGATAGTTACAAGCATGGGTCCAGTTATGTGGGTTATTGCATGCAAACATGGCAGCAGCCAGAGAGTGGCATGGATGTCAGTGATGCACCTAAAAGTCAGAAGATGCCTGCAGGACTGGGGCCCAGGTTTCCCTTTAATGGTGATCCCATGCGTGTGTGTGTCCCTCCTTGGTGTGCAGTCATTGCTCTTATAGGCACACATCCATCGCTTCTGTGTGCGCGCCTCCATTGCCGTGGGGTGTATGACCATCGGTCCCAGGTGCGTCTCCGTTGCTCCTCTGGGGTGCATGTCCATGGCCATTGCTCCCGGGGGCACATCCATTGCCGTGGGGTGTATGACCATCGGTCCCAGGTGCGTCTCCGTTGCTCCTCTGGGGTACATGTCCATGGCCATTGCTCCCGGGTGCACATCCATTGCCGTGGGGTGTATGACCATCGGTCCCAGGTGCGCGTCCGTCCCTCCTCTGGGGTGCGCGTCCATTGCCCTGGGGTGCGCGTCCACCCCCCCAGGCTTTGTGTCTGTTGCTGTGGTGCACCTGCCAGTTACTATTTCTGTTGCTGTAGTGAGGGGCCCGGCCTTCAGCGCCAGAACCCCGCAGGCAGGCCCTGGCCCTGGCCCTGGCCCTGGGGGCATGGCGGGCAGGGTCCTGCACCCCGGGGGCGGGAGGGCGGCGGTTGGGCACAGCCAGGCGGGGTCGGGGGTGGGGCAGCGGGGGCGGAGTCTGTGAGGGGCCCCGGCCCGTCAGCAGAGCCGGCTACCCCCGCGCCGGGTGAGGGCCCCGGCCCCTCCTGGCAGAGCAGAGGGGGCCGGTTGGGCCGGGGCGGGGGGCTCCCTGAGGCGATGGGAGGCCCTGAGGGGGGGAGGGGTTGCTGCCTGGCTCCGCCCCGCTGGCGCGCCCGCTGGTGGGGGTGAGGGTGGGGCAGCAGCGTTCCCTGCTCCCGCAGTGTGGCCGCCCCGCGCTGCGATTGGCCGTCCGGGCTGCCACTCTGTGTCTCTTCGGGCCTGGGGGGCGGGGCCTAGTGCGTGTGGAAAGGGGCGTGTCCGGGGGCGGGGCCTGTGTCGGCGCTGCCCTGCACGCCGTGGTCAG